AAACTCAAACTTGCTATGGAAAATAATGATTTCTGGCATTTGCCAGTAAGAGTAGTGTTTTCAGATACAAATTGCCTCAGAACACTAAGAAAACAAATACTTCGATTAACAGCTGATTTAAAAGAAGAAGAACAAAACTTAAATAATTATATTCAAGCTTATATTTCTACACCTATGGAAGTAAAACTAGCAACTACAAGAAGCTATGTTGATAATGTCAATAGAATGGTCTCGGTCATTCTTGCATTAAAGGAGGCTATTAAGAAAGCACAACAACTAAGTTCACTTCTTATGACTTGAAATGGATTGTTCAGATATCCTGTATAAATTCCGCACGGGAATCAGCCCGTCTAAAAATCTTGGTATCAGAGCCTGGTATCAAAGAAAAAACCTGTTTGGAATATGAATTCCAATACGGATAATGAAAACAATAATATAGAACAAGATCTATGTTCTAATAGTGGTCTTTCACTAATTTCATTAATGAAAATGAAAAAGGTTTTAAAGCCATTTTAGCAATAAAACATGATGTATTAACTAAGATTCAAAAATCAAAGTTGAATCTTTAAAAAGAAGAAGTTTTTAATATTCCAATGTTAAATTTCTTAAAAAGAAAAAATGAAATTTTCTATTTTGTTAACACGCAAGAATTGCATGTAGACATAAGAGATGTTAAAGGAACCGTATACCTGCCTTTAATTACTAAAGCAGAAATACGAAAAAACCTAGAGAAAATTTCATCTCTTATAAGAAATAAAATTTCAACAATTCATCTAGGGGAATAAAAATTTTGCTTAAAGCTGAATTTTAAGAAGGGATTGATACTCCTATAAAAATGGCATTACTCGATGATAGAATTAATGACAGAAAAAACTGTATCTTAGGAGCAGCAAGGGGAAATCTTGCTTATGGTAAGTTCATCTTCACAGTTTATCCTAAATTTGGCATGTCTATTCAAACTGCAAATTTAGATAGAACTTTATCTTTCATTCATCACTTTGAAAGAGAAAATCTAATGAATCCTGGAGATAAAGTCTTTAGTGTTACATATGTTATAAGCTATGCTTTGAGCAATAGTCAACACAGTATAGATTATAGGAAAAAATCTTATATTGAACTAGAAGATATCTTTTCAGATATAGGTTCAGTGGAAGAGAAAAACTTATGTGAGTTAGCACCTCTAGAAGAACACTGGGCTATTGACATAGCTAAAGGAAAAACTTTGATAGGAAATAAAAATCCTATGCAGATAAAAGAAAATTCTTTGATTATAGGAGAATCAAGTAGATTATCAGTCTCAGAGAAACGTTCTCTTGCTAATATGTCAGATAGAATAGATAATTTATCCGGTATGTTAAAACAATTAACTTCGGGATAAAAATTATATCTTATAATGAAACTACATTTGCAATATACGTTTGGATATGAAAATCATGAATTTATCATGATATATCCTCATTGTAAAACTCATTGTACAATTTTGATTGTACATATAGCACTACTCAACATATTTTGGTCCAAAGATCTCTTAAGTGAAGAATGACCTTATGGCTATATGAGTTCCATTTAATCCAACGGTCAAAATACATATATGAATATAAATGAAACAATCAGGTGTCTAGTTGCCAATTTTCATCTTCATCCGTCGATTGTGCTGCCCTACTATGAAGCTCATCATTCAATAAATCGATACAGTAATGCGAGACCCGCAATCTCAACTGCGCGAAAGGGAATCCCTTGAAGACTCCAGAGTGTCTCTGGTAATACATTACATAACATTAGACCCAATTAAAATTTATAATTAATGCAGTAATGACACAATAAATATGTTTAACTAAAGGAATATACATGACTTGAGTCAGTTGAGACTCAATATCCTTGTGAATCTTCTCCCAAACCGTGTCAAGAGAACCGGTAGCGTGGGAACTCTCCACCCTACACGACTTTGTGTTGCCAAAATGTAAGACAGTGTTCGTCTACGCTTTGACAAACTTCTCCTTGTGGACTAACCATGTCTTATCCACATATTCTAGCACACGAGGAAATGTCGTGCACCGAGAATTCATATCATGTATGGCAGTTATGTATTTATCCAACGTGCTCATCTCGACAACGTTCTTCCACCTGCTGTGCGTGAACTTCTGAGTGAAGACCTTATTTTTTGTTGTTAGTCGATAGACCCTGTCTTCCACATCCTTGTTGATGTGCCATGTGCAAAGTAAGTGGGACGACTCTGGGAAATTCATCTGAATATGAGTAATCAAGCCCAACTCCATGTCAGTGATAATGGCTGAAGGATGTACATCATACCCTATCAGAAATCTCAGCTTTTGTAGAAACCAGTCATAGTTGTACTCGGTCTCGTCCTTGATAATTTCATTGGCAATTAAGTAGTTCTTGGTGCACAGCGTCATTCCAACCATCTCCACCAACAACGTATGGTACCTGTACAAATGAAAGCAACAAGAGGAAACATAGAATCAAAAAAATTACTCAATCATACTAATTAAGATTCACATTAAATTGTTATTTATAAAGTAACATAACATACCTGTTGGTTTTTTACGTGGAATCTATACCGACATACCAGTAATATGTTCGGAATAGACTGGCTGCTTGTGGATTTGACATAAACACACGTGTCAACGCATGTGTGTACGAATCAACATATGTGTAAACTATTTAGTTGCTGACCGTAGCCAAATGCAGAAGTTAGGCAGCCACATCACTACCCTCCAAACTATCTCTCCACAATTTAACTTTATAGTTATACACTTGTCGGCGAGTAGCGTTGTCTACATGGTTTTTCTCCTGAATCGCAGCCAAAATTGCAGTCAGTTTTTCCTGAGCAACAGTCATATCACGAACAATCTCTTTGGATGAATCGCGGATTCCGCTCATCTGTCGATGACCCTCGGGATGCACAACCATGCATGATTATGCGTTCCCTTCTCATCATCATAAGGAACCCAAATACACCGTTTTTGCGATTCTGCCACAAATTTCACTTTTATCAGAGAAGGGCATTTGGTCGCTTTAGTTTTCGAACGCCTCAAAACAGCATTAACAAAATTTCCTACATTGCTTCTGTAAGTAACGTTTCCCGCGATGACACCTCAACACCTTCTGCTTTCCTTTTTTTTTCGTGTTTCGAGATGATCAATTCAAAACCCCATATAATTGCAATATTTTTTGCCCATTCAAGCTTCTTCACAACTATCAAATAGCTCATATGTAGTGAAACAATGTTTGCAATGCATATCGTCTCCTCCAATATCTTCGGGTGACACCTGCAATATATTATGATGTATGTTAATAATTTTACAAAATAATCAATTATAACTTCTAACATAATAATAGTAAATTGTAACTTAGTATTAATCAATTCTAACTTCTAACGTAATATCAATAAATTCTACTTCATAAATTAATCTATTCTAATCTATAACACAATAATTTCCAACTTATAGGATACTCAATCTATAACACAATAATTTATAACTTCTAACATAATATCATTAAATTTTATTTTATAAGATAATTCATTCTAATCTGTAACTTAATAATTTATACTAATATAATTTCTTCATGTTATAATTGATTAGATTTTATACTATATTAATTTATAATAATTATACTGATTACTAATATAATTTTTTATATACTAATATAATTTATACTATATAATGTATACTAATATAATTTATACTAATATAATGTATACTAATATAGTAATTAGTTAGTATTTACTAATTACTATATTAGTATAATAAAAAAATTATATTATTAATTAGAATAATTATTATAAATTACATTACTGTATATAAAATTATATTAGTAATTACTACTATAATTTATAATTGTACTAATTATTATTATAATTTTTAATATATATTATTTTAGTATATATATTTATTTTTTTCAATAATTATAAAATATTTAATATATTAATATATTTTAATTATTAATTTTATTAATTATTTTTAAAATATATATTAATATTTATGAAATTATTTAAATATATTTTTAATCTTAAACATTATCTAATTTAGAAAAAAAAGATACGACCGCACGTGGCCGCGAAAGAAACGGCGGCCGCAAGTGGAATGCCGACAGCCACACAACGAAAGGCTGCACGCGGCCGCAGAGGGGACGGCTGACACGACAATCGTGGCCAGGCGAGTTTCGTCTGCCGTCTCAACCAATGTCGGCCGCGTTTGTCGGCCGACTACTTCAACTGCGGGCGCGAAGAGAGGCCGGCCGGCTGACAGTTTTTTTATTTTTTTTTTAAACTTCTTTTTCATGTGAAAAAAAAATACTTATTGATTGGAAAATCATTTCCCCGTGCCTGAAGTTTGTCCCGCCAATTTTTTGGATTTTTTCAAATTTTTCTAATATTTGTTGATTTTTTTTACAAGGTTTTTTTTTTCGAAATTCTGATGTTAGTTTTGAATGGAAGATTTTTTTTAAGGTTAGAAAATAATTTTTATTTATTTTCAATAAAAAGGGCAAAAATATCTTTTAGGGGGTAGTATTTAGTAAAAAGAGTGCGATGAATAGTAACACCTAATATGAAACCTAACATAATATTATTTTGGCTATAATGCATTTTTTGGTCCTGACTTTTGGATGTCCGTGCAATTTTAGTCCTTTTCTATAGGTATGTGGCACATTTAGTCCCGCAATTAAAATTTTTTGGCACAATTTTAGTCCTTCTCACGTCAATTTTGAGAATTTTTGGCCGGAAATTGCACGTGCCGCCCACATGACTCACCTTCACCCGATTAATGTCGACCTGGCCCGATTCTTGCGCACGTGGCATTACAACCTGCTCGACATGGAAAATAAAAACATTAAAAAAAATTTTTAAAAAAAAAGAAAATGAGATGGCAAAGTAAAATTGCCACCTCGGACGAAATTGGAGGGAAAATGTACTACCTGTAAGTCTTTATATTGCCCCAATTTGTTCAGACCGTCCCATGAACCCTTATTTTTCAATCATGGAGGAAGTATCAGAGGGCTCCTACATTGCGTCGGGGAAGGAGTGCGATTGCGGCAAACCAAGTGTTGTTCGTACATCTTGGACATTTGAAAACCCAGGAAGACGGTTCTACTCATGCAATTATAAGGTATCTTCCAATTTAAGTTCTAAAATAAAGAACCCTAATTTTGCAGAAATTTTCATTTTTTTTTATTTTGTATTAATCAGAGAGGAGGAGCGTGCAAATTATTTTCTTGGGTTGATGGGCCGATGTGCACTCGGTCGAAGCAATTGATCCCTGGACTATTGCGCAAATCGAACGAGTTGCGCCAGATTCTTCAAGAAATTCAAGAATAAAATGATAAACTGAAGGAGGAAAAAAAGAACTTGACAGTTGAGATGAAAAGGCTGAAAATATCCATGAGGACCAAGTCAAAGAGTACAATGTGGTTGTTCTTTGTTGCATCTGCTATCATCTTGTATCAGTATCTGAATAATAAAGACTGTGGTGCCCAGGGTTCATTTAAAATGATTGCTTAGTGAATGTATTGGTGAAGTTGTGTTTGTGTTTGGTGTTTTTGTTTATGTAACTTTAGCCTTTATGGTTGGTTTAGGATGTATGAAGATTGATGGATTGTGAATGCATGTATGAAGGTTGATGGATTGTGAAGTTGTGTTTGTGTTTGTAATGCTTCTGTTTGTGATGGATAGAATCCATGTAGTTGTGTTTGTTATGCTTATGATATTAAAATGAAATGAACTCTTTGCAGTTTGATTGTATCAACTTTGAAGGTTATGTGTTCTATCATATTTATGTTTGTTATACTTTTAAGTATATTTCATTTCCAAAAGCACCTACATCTGATATGATAAGCAAAAAAAATGCTCAAGTAAAGTAACTGCAACAAAAATAAGTTTTCATTCATTCATTGCAAGACCTTCCATCAAAAGCAAAACCACAATGTCTTCCCAAAAGCACATTGACCCCTTACAAAAGCAAAATCCAAAAGCAGTTGGAACAAGTACAATAGTTTTTCCCACAATCAAAAGCAATAGTTTATACATGTCTTCCAATAGTTTTTCCCACAACCAAAAGCAACAGTTCTTTGACTAGTTTCTGCCACCAGAATGGTTATTACCCAATGACTTTTGAAGTTGTTAAAAAAAGGTTGGTCCCGTTTTGGATTGTACCCTTAGAATTTGGTACTCATCACAAATTGGTCCTCTGAACGGCAATTATCATTGGAGTATGTACACCCTTCCTCTGTATTTGGTGACAACATGGTTGGTCTCTGAACCTTATAGCCAGGACATAAAAAGATTATAATCAATATGCATAAAAACATTGAATAAAACTGAAACTACTATGACTATTTACTTACACTAGTACTAGACTGGCAAATGTTTGCTTTCTTTTGTCGGCAAAATTTCAAAAATGGTCCATTATGTTGGCTATTTTCCGAAAATGGTCCATCATATAGGGTGTCATCAATAATGGTCCACTATATTGTCACTTTTAATCAAAACTCGTACAAATGCCAACATAGTGGACTAAAAATGAAATTTAACCTCTTTTGTCTATTAGAAGCTCTTGCTCTTTTTCTTTCAAGCTGCATTCATAGCATAAATAAAAAATAAAAAATAAAAAAACAAATGAACAGAGTTGTAACAAAAGCAGAAAAACAATAAAAATAAAGTAATATGTAAATTGACTTACAATGGTGTCAAAAGCTCTCTTCAAAGGAGAGTTGTCAACTTGGTCACCTTGCTTTTTTCTTCTGTCACATGACCTTGTATTATGACCAGTCACCCCACACTTCTTGCAAGTAACTCTCCAGCCTTGCTTGAACATCCTAAGTGAATTCTTTGTCTTCTTCTTCTTGGGCTCTTCAGGACCCCTCTTTCTGCCTCTTGATGGCCTCTTAGGACCCCTTCCAAAGTTAAGAGGCAAAGGTAGAATGAACAGAGTCTGAGCCCATTAAGATGCACTATTTGTTCCAAAAATTGCACCAGCATACACCTTCTTGTACATTTGTGCAGAGTACCAATGAGAGACAAAGACAACTGGATCCTATTTTTGTGCTAAAATAGCACTACTAGCATCCTTACATGGGATTCCTGATAAGTCCCAAACCCTGCAACTGCAGCTTCTTTTCTCAAAGTCAACATTGAACTGAGACCCATCATAGCAGTTGATTTCAAAATGAGTGTCATCACACTTAATAGGCATACAGTCTGAGACATGGGATAGATGCTTCTGTAGGATCAAGTTGATAGTAGGACAAATTGTTCCATTCCATTTTAAGTCAGCCTTATCCCTTTTCTTTTGAAGTTTGGTGCACAAGTATTCCCTGATCCACTCACACATGGTTATTATTGGTTTCTCCCTTGCCTCAAGGATGTTGTTGTTGAAGGTCTCACATATATGTTAAGCAACAAATCACACTTTGGTAAATCAGAAAAGAATGCCCTACACCGTGGTGTGGTGGTTTATTCATAAACCAATTGAATGCTTCAACACTCATGCCTTTAATTTCTAACATTCTAGCAGTAAAATCTCCCACAGTTGTGGCCTGGGCTGCCTTCCACATAGCATGCTTATAAGCCAATCCTCTGAACCCAGCATTAAGGAAATTTTTGTGCAAATGCCTAACACAGAATCTATGTGCTGCCCCAGGGAAGACAATGTCAAAGGCCTGTATAAGCCCCTTTTGTTTATCAGATATGAATGTCTGCATTTCTGGCCTTGAGATATCCCAATCCTTCTTCAAAATGGTTAAAAACCACTCCCAACTCTCTCTGCATTCCACTCCAACCACAGCAAATGCAATAGGGAATAAATTGTTGTTAGGGTTTACTGCAACTGCAGTTAACAAAATCCCAGCATGTGGCCCCTTTAAATGACACCCATCTACACCTATCAGTGGTCTACAACCAGCTTTATAACCCTCTTTCAAAGCACTAAAACAAACATAAAACTTACTAAATCTCTCATCACCACTCTCTTTTTCAGTTGCCAATACCACTGTTGAACCAGGATTGGTAGATCTCAGCTCCTCTGCATAATCCCATAACTGTGAGTATTGAACATCATGATGTCCCTGAAGAACATTCATGGCCCTTCTCTTAGCTCTATAAGCTTGATCTTTGAAGATATTCACATTCATCTTATGAATTACATCAAACCTCCAGCCCTTCGCACTTCTCTTTGGGTCAGTTTGAAAATTGCTAATGTACCTCTCACTCAGCCACTTAGACTTAATGTTCTTCACATTGAAGCTCCCATGACATGTATGAGTGGGATTATACTCTCTAATCTGGTAACTACATTGTCCCTTCATTTGTAAAAGATTACACCTCTACTTACAGCCTTCATCATCACATCTAACATAGACCCTAATCTTATAATTTTTAATTGTCTTTAGGTTCCTTTTTGTTTTGATTGAATGTGATTGAATGGCCTTTCTAAACTCATGTTTATTTGCAAAAGCCATTCCCAACTCAAACACAGGATCAAATATGAGTTCAGGATTGAAAATAAGAGTCTCTACTTCTGGCTCATTTTCACTATCAACTAAGTCATCTAACTCATCAGGATTAGCAACCACATCTTCATTATCATTATCACTAGACTCTGACTCACTCTCTTCATTAGCACCTGCATCTACATGCTCAAAGAATAATGCATCATCATCTTCACTACTAGCATCCCTCATGTCATAATCACTATCAAAGAATTCATCATACAAATCAGTAGAATACCCACTATCCTCATTACCCTCAGCATCACTCAAATGAACACCTTTTCCTTTGTCAACCCCAGCAAGATTACCCTCACCAGCAAGATTATCTCCACTTGCATCATTCTAACTCCTAGTCCCACTACCATCCCCAACAATATTATCATCACCTACATCATTGTGACTCCTAATCCCATTACTTCCCCCAACAAGATTATCCTCTTGAGTAACACACTCTACACCAACAACATTATCCCCACTCTCACTCTCAGACCCACTCTCAGGCCCACTCTCAGTATCACTGTCACTCTCATCTAGATCCACCCAGCTACCTTCAATAGACAAACTAGAAGGCTCAAAAGTGTTGAAAACTTCAACAAATACAGTTAACTCCCTGTCAGATAAGTAGCACTTTGCCCAAATTCTAATGTCATCATCCCCTTCTATCCTTATCAGATTCAACCAAACCTGTATGAAATATTTTCTATCACCAACCACACCAAATTTTGTGGAAAACATTTTTAGTTTCTTTTCAGACATTTCATTAGCAGGTACAAAATCAAACACCATTTTATGGCCACCTTCATACACTCCAAAGTTTAACTTTTGGAATTTACCACCACACCACAAGATGTCAGTCATTAGGTCCGTACTTCGATCTTTGCATATATAAAGAAAAATAAATTAGACAATAAATAATTCACCTAATATAATAACAAAAACAGGTGGGGGGACCATTTTCAAACCAGACAAAGAGACATAATAGCACATGGGGTCAACTAATTTGGAATAAACCACCTTAAAATCGGAGAAATATAGAAATATTAGTGAATATTATATAGCTAATCAAGTATAATCGATATTAAACTAACAGCTCACTGTCTGACTGCCTAAGTAAATTATCATATTATAAAAAGATTCATCTTAGGATTTCATTTAAGTTCTAAAGCACCAGTTACATCTTAGGGTTTCATTTAAAATCAGGGTCAGCCTTTATGTGCGTTGACATATTATTAAAGAAATCAGTTCTTACCAACGACCAATTATATGTTGTTGTTTTTACGTGTAAGTAATAGATAAGAGATGTGCATTGACATGTTCTTAAAAAAATCTTTTTTTGATCACGACCAATTGTATATTGTTACGTGTGTAAGTAATAAGTCAAGAAGAGTCAAGGTCAATATTTATTGTACGTTGGCATGTTAAGTAATAGATCAATAAGAGTCAAGGTCAACATTTATTGTACGTTGGCATGTTCTTAAAGAAATCAATTTTTAGTCACAGACAATTATGTTGTTTGTTTCGCGTGTAAGTAATAGAAAAGTGTTGAAAATATTAGTTTGTGGGCACGACGAGTTGCTCAGTTATTGAACAAATAATGTTGTGTACAAGAAAGTTTAAATAATATATTATTTTGCATGAGGAACAATTTATGGTTTGATAATTTTCCTATGAATTATCACTCTTTTATTTATTAATACATTTTAATTTTTAATATTTTCCAAAGTAAATACAGCTCGTGCATCGCACGGGTTACATACTAGTATAAAGAAAAATAAATTAGACAATAAATAATTCACCTAATATAATAACAAAAACAGGTGGGGGGACCATTTT